TCAACACCAGCAATCAACAGCCAATTATTGCACAACTATATTCTACCCACCTCAAGACTCTGCTCCAATATAGAAGCATCAAGAAATATGGACCAATAGGCTTTCTACAAACACTTCTATTCAATACCCATTGTTTCTGTTCTGTCTTGTGTTGATACTTTTAATACCCTATTAATATCCCCTCTTGTTCTGTCTTGTGTTAATGCCACATCACCCCTCCCACCTCACTCAAATGTAGATATAAAATCAGAGATACGTAAGTTCTAATCAGTTGTGTATTTGTGAAGTCTTTGAAAATGTAATAAGTTTTACGAAACGCGCCCGTGTCGCGTCAGACTAGAAATAAAAATGAATTTTGGAGAAGTGATTTTTGATTTACCTCCAACAGTGAAGCGTAATGTACGAAAGATTGAGAAAATTCGTGTTAGAATTATTAATCTTACTTTTTCGGTCATATTTAATAATATATGTCTACAGGAAAGACTGCTACCAAAATATACTAATATATATATATATATATATATATATATATACATATATATATATAATATATATTATTAAATATGACCGAAAAAGTAAGATTAATAATTCTAACACGAATTTTCTCAATGTTTCTTATATTTTTCTTCACTGTTGATGGTAACTGAAAAATCAATTCTCCAAAATTCATTTTTATTTCTAGTCTGACGCGACACTTGAGCGCGTTTCGTAAAACTTATTACATTTTCAAAGACTTTAGTTTACACAGACACAACTAAAACTGAACAGAGCTTAAACATCTGCAATTTTATACTTGCATTTGGGTGAGGTGATATGTTACAACAGTTTTGGATGAGGTGAAAACAAACTTTCAACACAAGACAGAACACGAAACAATGGGTATAATATTTTGTAAGTTAAAGGGAAGAATGGAAGTAACTGCAAAGGGCCTATTGGCCCATATTTCTTGATGCTTCTATATTGGTGCAGAGTCTTGAAGCGGATAGAATATAGTTATGCATTAATTGGCTGTTGATTGCTGGTGTCGACTTCCTAATGTGTAGTGCCTCGCAGATATCTAGCCGCCTGCTATCACTGTATCAATTGATGATTTCCGTGTTTTTTGTTAAACTAAAGTCTTTGAAAATGTAATAAGTTTTACGAAACGCGCTCAAGTGTCGCGTCAGACTAGAAATAAAAATGAATTTTGGAGAATTGATTTTTCAGTTACCATCAACAGTGAAGAAAAATATAAGAAACATTGAGAAAATTCGTGTTAGAATTATTAATCTTACTTTTTTGGTCATATTTAATAATATATGTCTACAGGAAAGACTGCTCCAAAATATACTAATATATATATATATATATATATATATATATATATATATATATATATATATATATATATATATATATATATATATATATATATAAAATATATAAACACACACACACAATACTAGGTGAATGGAGACATCAGATGAAAGGAAACATTGCCAAAATGCTTCTATCTACCTTGGAAATTGAACCAGAGACCTTTCAGCTATGACCCGATTGTACTTACCACTTTGCCCCAGAAACCTTTTGGTAGGAAGCAGCAGAAATACAATACAATACTGTACTTAGTTATACTACACTACTGTAATGTTTAGGTAGGCTATAAAATGTGATGAAAGTGGAAAGATGAGGTTTAAAGGTCTCTGGAACTTATCTCTATTTTTCTGCTATAACCTTAACTTAGATACACATTAAGCTGTCCAAAAGAGCATTCCATGTACAGATTGAGAAACGACTATATTTAAATTGTAAATATATCAGAAATATATTTTAGTGAAAAACATTCACCTTTTATTTAATATGCCCACTTTAATAAATATTTTCAGTCAAGTCTACTAACTATCCTGTAGTTTGTTATTTTGTTATAATACTAATATCTAATGTGGATCAAGTAATGTAGCTTGATGTGTAGGAGCACAACATTTCCTGAACTACGTTTTCAGTTCTATGCAGAAAAGAAACTTTTTATTTTCAAAATTATTTTCAACAGTATTGGCAACACTTTTTTTGATGCTGTTGCAACAAGACTAAAATGAATATTTCAGTTACACATTGAAAGTATGTTGATGTTCATATTCAACTATAGTAAGTAAAAAATAATTACGTAACAGTAAAAATTCTTACTTCACTTGGATGTTCAGACCACAATAGATGCCTCTTAACAAACATCCTGAATACAAGGCGTGAAAGTATAGGACAATATATCATTCTTCAGTCTTTTTCTGTCTAGGCAAGTTGGGTATTATTTTTACCCCTTAGTAAAATATATACTTTTCCCTCTAGTCTAGTAGGAGTAAACTGTTTGTTATTAATGGTAATAGTTTACCACAATTTGTTAAACTAAAGCTTAGAAATGTATCCAAAGTTTAAGAAGAAAATTATTTATTCCCCTAAGCTTTTATGAAAAATTTGGGATTTTTTTTTTTTTTTATATATACACAAGAGGTCTTATATTCTTGAACAGGCACTAGCACGCATAGCGTTTTGGGCAAGTCCTTAATCCTAATATTCCCCAGAATACGACCCGCCAAATCGTTTAACAACCAGGTACCCATTTTACTGTTGGATACACACAGGCTACAGTTAAGAATTAGTGCCCATAAATCCTTCCCGGCCAGGATACAAACCCAGGCCAAAGGGCTCGCGAAACACCAGGTGAGTGTCTTACCACTACGCCACGGGGACTCGGTAGTTAATATGATGTTCTAAGCATATTTGTGTATAATTGTATTTGTTTCTTGAAGCAATAATTAATATACATTTCAAAGCATGTTCAAGACAACCACAATTATATAGTACAGTATTGGAAATATTAAAATTCCATATACCATATATCAAACCAGTGAGCTAAGATATGCAATAATTGTCATTCATCAATTCATTAATTACCATTATCCCATGCACCCAAGATAATTACTTCTGTAGTAACCATTGCACATTATATAAATCAGTAAGAATATTGGGAAGGTTTTCATCTGCAATGAAGATTGGTGATTGGTAATTTTTTTGCACCCCACCCACAATATGACAGGTGAAAATAAAATGAAAAAAATTACAGGCCTAAAAAATTGGGGTCCAGAGATTAATAAGAATATAAGGAGCTGTAAAACTAAGTTTAATTAGGATGAACTTTCATGAAGATATGCATAACTTACAACAACAAAATACAACACAAAGATGTATTACCATAATTGCCACTGAAGCAACAGAGATCATTATACCAATGTATTAAATTTCATGTTTATGAAGAAGGATAAGGGCGAACTCAATGAATGTTAAATATCAATGTTGGAAAATGTTAATATCTTAGATGTCTGGTCCCTTCTGAGAACTCTTCTTAATGTGCATAAAGTTTGACAGTTGCCTTTGTACGTGATCTTACACTGCTTGGCAATAAGATGAAAACAGCTCAGGAATTAAGAACAAGATGTGGCAAGGAAACTATGGAACTATCTGGTCTAGAGTAATAATTATATTGGTTTGTTGAATAACAATCCAAAATGTGTAGATCTATCAGGTATGTCATGAAAACTGTTAGAAGCAAACTCTTGGCTAAAAGAAGAAAACGTATTATATTCTGTATTAAGAAGGCTGAGAGATGTCCAAAATACATTAGCCATCACAAGGCTTCAACACTTAGTATGGCACATCTTTGGAAACAAAAGAAACTGTATAAGCTACTCACTCTTAAGAGAAAAGTTTACAATATTTGGTCCAACATATGTAAGTAATTCCTTGCTCAATGCAATATGGTGAGTTATATTTTGGGAAAGTGTTCAGTACCCTCATGAAGATGTACACTGTGCACTAAGTATCAGGAGATGGACATAAACTGTACACTCATTATCATGAGCTGCAGGTAAACTGTGTATTCAATACACTGTGCATTTGTATTAACTAAAAACAAATTATTTTCTTATGATGTCATTTGTAGCATATTTCCTAAACCTATTAAACTCCAATTAAATATCAACATCAAAATAAGAATAAATAAGACAATATCTTTCTAGCTTCTTTTTTTTTTAGGGCACTCACTTGATGTTCCAGCAATTTTTTTTTATTTGTTTATAAACAAAATAATCAGCACACATGTTACATTTAGAGAAAACAATTATAGTTTGTCAATTGAGCACACTTCAAATTTGCACAAAACCTGTCATGGATTTGATATTAAAATTGTGTTAGTTCATAAAGCCATCTAAATTTTCACTTAATAGATAAGTTGTGTTTAGTAATGAAAATGGTTTACTTTATGGTTTGGGTTCCCCATAATAGGGAACAGGCAGTCTGTTAGGCTTAATGACGTCCTCCTAGGCCATTAACTGACCTTTCCCTAGGCTGTAGCCTAACTTCCAGTTAACTATTTACTGCTAGGTGGACAGAGGCATCATGTGAATGGAAACTTTGCCTAAATGCCTCTTTATTACTGCAGCATAGATTAAATACGGAATCTTTCAGCTGTGACCCGACTGCAGTTACCACGGGAGCGGGAGCCGGTCGGCCGAGCGGACAGCACGCTGGACTTGTGATCCTGTGGTCCTGGGTTCGATCCCAGGCGCCGGCAAGAAACAATGGGCAGAGTTTCTTTCACCCTATAACCCTGTTACCTAGCAGTAAAATAGGTACCTGGGTGTTAGTCAGCTGTCACGGGCTGCTTCCTGGGGGTGGAGGCCTGGTCGAGGACCGGGCCACGGGGACACTAAAGCCCTGAAATCATCTCAAGATAACCTCAAGATAACCACCGAGCTGCAGGACCCTATATTAACTAACGTTCAAACATGACTGTGTAGGATAACCAGATCTTAAGTTGTACTCATCTTCAGTGGAGTTGTAAGTTTGCTCAGGTTAATGCCACAATGGTCTGAGAATGTATATACGAAATATTTAAAAACTAAATCATATATAACTGAACAAAGGTTCTCAAAATAAAATACGGCAGTAAAGAAAAATTAAATGTACCATTTAAGATGATTATCAGTTGATTTTAATGTTGAATTTATATAACATTAAAACATACAACCAAAGGTTATGCAGCAACTGCCTTTTAAATTACAATTTCTAAACTCTGTTTTCAAAATCAGAATCAAAGGATGAATCAAATCATCTTTCCTGTGTGGTTACTATTTTAACCAACAGCAACCTCAGGAGACCCCCAAATTTAAATACATTATGTATTTAGTAATGTTTTTATTATCATGCAGCTTAGTATCAATATATAAAATATCATTATCTAAGCATCTAGAAATTCTAACATTGTAAAGAAAGGTATGATAAATATTGGCCAATAGCATAAACTTCTTTGTACAGGAAAAATAAACCTATTACAATACTTATTTAGAAAAGTCTCTGCTGTCCAAACTGATTGAAGACTTGATTCTGAAATGGGTGTCTGAAAACACTTTGTGGAGGTTGCTCTTTCAACTGGGACCTGCTACCTCCTCCAACATTTCCAAAACCTGTAGACTTTACAAGTTCACATCTGACCAGTACCACCCCCGATGGGTTCACATCGACCTTGAACCGCTTGTCTGGCAGAACAGTTCCATAATGTACACCATCGAACAGGTCAGTAATGGCATATCCGCCTGGGTAGATAAGACCTAGTTCCCGTAAAGTTACCGAAACCTGAAACAAAATTTATTTATCATTACTCAGTTTTCCATTTTCATGGAGAGAAGAAGCACAGGGCCCCCCCCCCCCAAAAAAAAATAAAAGTTATATAATACAAAAATAGATATCGTCTAATCATCATATCATCTACACTATATAGTATAATAGCTATGCAAGTCCCATGACACACCAATTTTGCTTAAAAGTAAAATTTGAATAATTACAATGCAATTATACTGCATTTGTAAATTATGAATATTGTTCTCCCAAAAAAAAACATAATGTACATACAATGAATATAAAATTTAGAGCAATTAAGTAGTTTAAGACCATTTGAACAGCACTGAAAATGTACAGAAGACTGTCTATAATAAAAAATTTACTACAATTACTCTCCAATATTTCACCTTGAATTATAAATCCTACATAATATTGGTTCCAGGGATCATTGTTCCTACAGCCTGGTCTCTGACCAGGCCTGAATTTTATATATTAATACTAATAAAGATAACTAATTATAATTAATACAATATTTTAAACTCACTTCTGAAGGTGTGCCGTCAGTACGACGATTGAGAAAGGCAACAGCATAGGAATAGTGGCTTTGAAACACTGGAGTAATAGGACGAGCCCATATCTCGATGCCTTTATCCTGAGTTACAGAGGGACAATTATTTTACAGATAAAACAATACAAATACTGAGAATTAGACATGAAATTTTTTAATTAATTTTTATTCTAATGTGCATCAATCATAATTTATTCAATATTTATTTTTAAATGAGTTTGAGAATATAAATTACTTGTATTCCAATTATTATATAGTACAATATACATTATAAACAAGAATCAATTATTCTCATAATGATATACACAGTTGATATACCTTATATATTCTTTTGCCCTGAATGCCTAATGGATCTTGGTTAACAGCAATGACAGCTCGATTTTGAAGGATAGCCTTATATTCAGGTCGAATTGTGCGAAGATCCACTGACATTAGTAGAGGTGCAGCAAATATCGCCCACATGCCCATTTGGGATTTGCACTGCTCATAGCTCAGACCAAAATTGCCAATAATAAGCTGTGAATGACAATAAATATCAAAATAAAAACTATAATTCAACTTTTATTACTGTGATTAGTTTTATTAAATACAGGAACCCATATTTATTTGTAATTCATACACTTTAATCAAATGTACTGTAAAACTTTAATCCAAATAGTACTTTCTTCTACCAATGAATGTGTATATTCTCTCCAAACAATAAATGTGTATATTCTCTCCAAACAATAAATGTGTATATTCTCTCCAAACAATAAATGTGTATATTCTCTCCAAAAATCTTTGTCAAAAAAAAAAAAAAATAGATATCATGGCTATTAAAAACTAGGCTCTGTCAAGTATGTGCCATAGATTAACCCTTAACCCTTACACTGCTCAGGGGTCCTTTGGACATTTACACCCCTGTGCGCAAGAAAAAAAAAAATTCAAAATTTTTTTTTCGTCTTCTAAACATGTTAATTTGTGTCCCCTGAGCACGGAAAAAATAAAAAAAAAATCGTAGGTGACATATTTTAGGCGCAATTGACCGAGGAAGTCTGGCAAAAAGTGGGCGTTGACAGAGCGGTCGTCAGACCCGGTCAGCGTCACCCGCGTTGACAGATGGGAGTTGCCACAAAGATATTATTACCTAATTGTTTCAATGTTTATGGGTGCTAAAGTGGCAAAAGGAGTAAGAACATTAACGGCACAAAGACCACAAATACTTGAAGAAGTGGAAAAGTTGTTATTAATTTGGATACACGACAAGGAGTTGAGGGGTGATAGTGTTTCGGAGGCCATTATTTGTGAGAAAGCCAGGGTGTTGCATGAAGACCTTCTAAAGAATACCCCTGCAACGAGTGATGCAGATAAGAAAGAGTTTAAGGCAAGCAGGGGCTGGTTTGAAAAATTTAGAAAGAGAAGTGGTATCCATAGTGTTACAAGGCATGGGGTTATGTGATGTGATTATGGAAGGGGACTCCCCTTCCAAACAGTAACTCCTCTCCTCCTCCCCCCTCCTCACCATCTTCCATACGCCAACAGCACTCGACAGCAAGGTAAGTAATAACTGGAACACAGTTTTGTAGGTTTATTTAGATGAATTAGGTAAATTAGGTATAAAAATTTAGTTTGATGTGGGGTTTTTGGGGTAGTCAGGAACGGATTAATTCATTTCCCTTTATTTCTTATGGGGAAATTAACTTCGGAATGCGAGTTTTTGGAAGGCGAGGCGTCTCCAGGAACGGATTAAACTCTTATTCTGAGGTATGCCTGTACTCAAAAGTATGATGTGCATATTAGTGATTCAATTATTATGTTTATAAAACTATAAACAAATAGTTTTGCTGCTATTACACTCTATACACAGGTTATATATAAGTATTGGCATGTTTTGGTCACCATAACGAACCACTAAGTTGGTATTGAGAGTCGAAAAGCAACGAGGAGTTACCGCCACACACCAGCCAGCCACTGGCTGCCACTCCCTCAACACACGCACTAAACTCTCACCCCCATTTGTGGTGTTATTACACTATATACAGACGTTATATATAAGTATGTATATATTTTGTTCACCACAACTGTACAGCTAAGCTGATATAGTTAGTTCAGGCACTAAGAGTCGTCGCTATACACAGATGGCGGCTGGCGGCTCCCTCACTCTCTCAAGGTCACACGCACTAAACTTTCTCCCCAACAATACCTTTTGCAGTGTTATTACCCTATATACACATATTATATATAAATATCTACATGTTTTATGCACTGTAACTGTACACCTAAGCTTGTAGTGCGCCCAAAGAGCATAGTGGCCACCCTCTAAACAGCTAGACAAATCATGCAGACGACGTCACCTCCGTCACCCATATGGCTCCTCCCAGCATAATCCTTTTGCTGTTATTACACTAATACACACATTATATATATTGCTTCAGTATTGAGCAAGCCACCAAGGCTGGCGCACGCAGCACGAGCTCACAGCACCACTGTTCAGCTTGTGACCACAGCATCGCCTACAAATGCCATAATATATATGTTCATCCTATTATTTAGCGATGATAGTACAGTATTACAGAAGACCCCTGACTGTGATAAAACTGACCAGGATTCTGATAATGGCAGGATTGTGGTGATATTTAGCGCTGTGCTCCATGGAGGGAGGAGTAATGCTGTGGGAGGGAGGGTGGTGGCGTTGTCTTCTGACTCTGTGTGGCCACCTTTTATTGACTTGCACTCACCATACCAGCTTAGTGGTTCGCTATGGTGAGCACAAATGTAGATACTTATATAAAACGTGTGTATAGAGTGTAATAACAGCGGTAGGAGTAGGTTGGGATCTGCCATTTTGGTGAGGGAGGTGCGTCGTCTGCACAACTTATCATAATAATAATAATAATAATAATAATAATAATAATAATAATTTTTATTTAGGCAAAGGTCATACATAAAGAGATTTTACAAAGTTTGTTGGCTTTATAGATAAGAGCTAGTACATACAATGCCTAAAGCCACTATTACGCAAAGCGTTTCATGTTGTTTACTGGTGGCCACTATGGTCTTTGGCCACCATACCAGCTTACTTGTACAGGTATAGTGAATAAAATAGGTAGATACTTATATATAATGTGTGTATATAGCGTAATAACACCACAAGCAGTATTGTTGGAGGAGAAATATTAGTCTGTCTGGCCTTGAGAGCGGCCGCCACCAGCTGACTGTGTGAATAGCTACATCTTTGTGCCTTTACTCACCATACAAGCTTAGATGTACAGTTATGGTGAACAAAACATGTAAATACAGTGGTACCTCACATAACGATCGCCCAAAAAGACGAACATCTTGGGTAACGAACGGCCCGATCGGCGTCAAATCGTCCCATATGACGAACGCTGGTTTGAGTAACGTCAACACCACATCGTGGGGTCGCGCTACTTCTTGCACATTCTTAGACGCCTCCGACGATGCACATAAATTATGTTGTTCTTGTTTAAAGATGCTAATGATGCTGGGATATAAAAGGGTGACTGCTGAGATGTTGCAAAGCATTGACGTTTTTGTAGGAAAAAAGAAATGAAATGTCTGATATACAACAAATGTCAAAAAGGTTCGTTCGGTGTTCGGCAGGTAAGCTGCTCCATTATAACAATATTTCTTTGTTTCAAATGTGTTCCATTTGTTTTGTATTTGTCATTTACATCTCAATAATGGAGAATACATACCTTACATACACTGAATAAACCATTATGACATTTTCCTTTCTTCAAATGTGTTCAAATTATTTTTCATTTTCATTTGTCTTATAGCAAAAGGATCATTCGGTGGTCGGCAGGTAGGATGCTCCATGTTTCTTACATACAAAAAACGTAAATAATAAAAAAAATGAAGAATTTTGAAAACCAGTACAAATGTCAAAAAGGTTCGTCTCAAACACCGAAGTTCTTCACCTTTGAACGACGAGAACAGTGGGTAAACATCACCATCAATCGCCATAAACCAGCACACTGTGACGCTGTCCCAGACAACCCTCCAGACACATCCGCCAACAACGGCATTCACTTTTCGACCACAGTTACCAGCGGCACCGCCACCTGCGATAATGGACGATCCTGTATGACCTCCCACCCTACGACACTAGTTGGATGACATCAGCGAAGAGCAGGAAGTTAACTTTGACGGTTAAACACCGCAAGCAGGGCGTACAATTTATCGACCAACCAGGTTCATTGACCAAATGTTTTTCCTTTCATCCCCTGGGAGGGGGGAGTTATGCAGTGAGTAGATTATCCCAATAATATACTCGCTCCAAACTCATTAGCCTAATGAGAGAAACAAAGCTCTCATTAGCACTAATTATGGAACTCAAACCTTTCCCTTCTTTCAGTTAAGATTCCTGCCAACCTTTGGAGAATGATGAGGTGTTGCCCGAGCATATAAGCAGCAGAGTAGCGAGTAATAATCAGTCTACTTTTAAGTGTGGTTTAGAACAGACACTTGCGAGATACTGTACCGATTTTCTGTGCACTCAACTCACTATCACATCATTGCTCACCAAGTGTCACCTCCAAACTTCTGTATACTCGACTAAATATATATATATTCTCTTAGTGTCTGTGTTTATTCTCACCATGCTTTACTTAACACTAGATCTGTTACAGATTTCAAGTTGAAGTCGCCGACTACCAACAGGCGTGATCTATATCAGCTCTCATTATAATCTCTCTCACTATTGTTATAAGCCCCTCTCTTTTATTGTCCAGTTCCTCCTTTTGACTATGTGTTGCATGGCGGTGGACTATATGCATTTATGATCGTTAGTTTATCATCCTGATTGCAGATCTCTAGTGCTATTATGTCAACTTCTCGTGGATTGGCAATCATTATTTCATTTACCTTTAGGTGTTCTTTCACCAGCACAGCAATGCCATCGCCTTTAGCAATTTTTCTGTCCCGTCTCCAGACTGAGTAGCCCTATTACATCACTTAACTCCAGTATCTTTGATCTCACTCCATCTATGTTGGTGTATGCAATTTTCAGGAACATGTTTCCCCTCTCCTTATTCTTCACTTCCCCTTTCTCTAGTGATTTTATTGGTTTGCCTTTTTGTACCACTTTACTGGTCTGCCTACCCCTATCACTTTATAGAAGAAAAGAATTGATTTCTTCTTCATTCCTGCTCTCATTTAAATGTTTTGCCTCTATGAGGTTGAGTTTCAGCTTCTCTCTCTCTTCTCTTGAATGATCTCGTCTTAACGACCATACTTTCCCTTCCTCATCACCTTGTAATTTTCTAACATTTCTTAGTACTTCTTTCATCTGTTTGGCACTGTTTAGGGTGAGCCTCAAAGGTCGATCTTATTCTTTAACCCTTAACTGCGCATGACGTATATATACGACAGGACCCGATGGTACCATAAGTTAAATTTTTCAAACTTGTTCTAATGCTTTCCAATTTTTTGTGCATAATCTACTAGGCAAACATTCCAGTTTTGTCTAAATGATCACAAATGTAACTTGAAAACATGAGATTTAAAAATAA